TTTCCTTTACATTATAACTAGATTAAAAATTTTTATACATCATTATAATCGAAATGCCCTCTCAGTGCAGGACAATGAAACTGATCTCAGAAGAATTTTTGCTAAAATATTTCTTATACCAAACCATACAATTTATTCTTCATAGCTACCTTCCATTCTTTACTGAGCTATAAAGTGCTTGGTTATTATAAATAGAGCAAGAACATCAAAAGAGGTAGCTAGTAGAGATTTGTAATGGATAAGAAACCTTACCAAGTGTTACCACCTAAAAGTATGATTTGATGCTTAATCCCAGATCTATAAACATTCCAAGCAGCACATCTTTCATCTTCTCTACCAGAAGAAAGACTTTCAAGTTGCTTTCAGAAAATCCTAAGACCTTCACCCATCCAACAAAGAGATTTTACCCAGGTTTGGATGAATGTTAAAGTTCATATTGATCACTATTTCCATTTGACTACTGTCAGGATCTCACCAATGAAGCACTGTTCTTTTTCCAGCTATCAAATATATTCCATAGACAGAGACACTCCACCAGGAAAAAAAATCTTTCCTCGTAGCCAGATAATGATGTTGTACAGCAGGCTATTAAAAATACGAAAGAGGGCTGCCCATACTTTTCCGAGTCTTCTACTCTTGCACTTTTTCATCTGAAAATTCTAGTCCCCTTCTTTTTGCTTTATTGATGGCTTTCACCAGAAGCCAACACTGCACCAGATCCTAAGCTGGAGTAATTGTCAAGCAGCCCTTTATTTTCCTCTAAATGGCTCAGCAGAAGCATCACAAAACAATTTTACAAACTTCTCTATTAAATGATCTTTTACGGAAAGCTTGTAAGTACATACACATAAACACACACAAGTTCATGAGAAAAAATCCTCTTCAAACAGCAACCAACAACTGATAACCCGTTTTATACAGCTCGAATATTTTGAAGTTTCATTTTCTACGGTGAACAGAGACATAGAAATACCTAAACCTTTCTGTTATGTATCAGTCTGCTGTTGTACCAACCACAGCAGTAGGAAGACATCTGGATCTCTATACTTGTGTTCTCAGTCTCCTCTACCTCTCCTCTTTAAACCTGCTTGAATGTATTTGCTCACTTGTGTAAGCTCTTACTCTTAGGTTAACGTTAGTTCTGCAGTATGCATAATCTTCTCCCGTAATTTTCGAAGTAAAGATGGAAGTAATTATCTTCCAGACACTGTAACTAATTTAATTTTTAATAAATTTTAATACAAAATTTTGAATTATTAAGAATTTATATATAAAGTCAGCTCCCCTCATTTTCCTGTGCATAGGATATTTTCATTATTCACTAGATTTTATTTTTTAAGCAATTAAGTTATTAAATTATTGAGCTCACTCAAGATAGGATGCATTTATAGAGGTAGAGTAGGCTTCGGAGATGTAATTTTTACCACTGAAAAATGCACACTGATAATCCATAAAGCATCTCTGTAGTGTAAGGCTCTTGACTTCATTGAAATCCACTGGAACACTCACTAAGAAAACGTGTATCTGAAGTACATTTCCTCTCTGCAAGTACCATATCCACAAATCAATTACAAAAGTGAAACTTGATCTACCATTCCCCTGTAGTAGTTCTGAAAGTGGTATTTACTCATCTTCTGATGCAAAAGTAAAGCCATAAAAAAGGGAAACTTGCATTCCTACATATAGCCTTACCAGTACAAATAGACTTTCCCACGATCATCATGCTAATTTTATGTCACCTGGTACTGAAGAATGTAAAAGAAAAGAAATACAAGATATCTGAGCATTTTTTACAAGATTAACTCCTTCCGTTTGATATGTCCATGGTAAAGACACGTGCTGACATACCAAAAGTCTGCTTTTACACTAGACAGTGCATCTGTTAAAAATAGACGTTTTAAGCCACTAATAAGATAATATTACATTCTAAAGGTAGCATTTATTATGATGCTACTTATCATGCATTTATTTTGCATTAAAAAAACGAAGACACACGCTTGCAACAGTAAATTTCATCAATATTTCACCACAGTTTTTAAATTAACAAAGTGCAATTGAAAAATGGGTGCCGCAGCCATGTAAATTGCTGTATTATAAGCTTTTAATGGCAAGTAAAAAGTGCCCTTTACTGCTGTATTCAGTACATCACAACTTTGCAGACCTCACTACAGTCCTTGCCGAACACACAAATGTTAATAATTTTTTTTCATTAGAAAGTTGTTTTCTGACACATAGTAGATGCATCAGGACATAACTGTAATACATTAAAGTAACAAATTAGAAAATTGAAACCTAATGCATTGCAAAATATTGTTTCAATTACACTAATTTTGTACAGCAATCCAAAATATTACATGTTTTAAAATAATTATTCCACTGCCTTTCCATTCTGGATTGTTGCCCAAATGTGTATTATGCAGGCTGGTTTTGTTTTTTCCAATTTAGTTTTAACTTAATTTTATTATACCTTGACTCCTCACCTCCTACCCCCCCATCAGACACAAGCCTATTTAGAAGGAAACAAACCATTTTAATTAAAGTTCTCTATTGAAAACAGAAGATTTAAAATACTGAAATATTAAAGGTTAATGCAAAGAAGCAATGAATTTCAGAAGTTTTCATGAGTTATCACCTTAAGAGTTGCTCTGAATCATCATTACCAGTTTTTTTATCCTACTTCTCGATAACAAAAGCAGACTTCCACTTTCAAACATATCTCCAAAATGTTTGAATTTACTAAATTTAAATTTTTTTTAGAAAGGAACAAGCTATTACAAAATGATTCCCTGATGTAGTGACTTAAAAAGCGAAGAAGAAAGTATTTCATTTACACCTTTAAATTGTAACGGTGACACAAACATAAAGCCTTTGTATGTAGCCTAGATTTTGCACTAGATACACCGAAACCACTATTTTCAAAGATACCAGGTTCTGCGAACTATTATAAAACAGAGTCTGTTTCTTTCAGCAAAGCAGGTCACAGGATCAACCCACAAAGATTTACCGGTACCCAAACCGGGGACTGCGCTCACTCGAATCATACAGCTCAACAGATTAATTGCCAACTTTCCCAAGGCATAACGGCTCTTTTGTCTGCAGGCTTGTGAGGTATTAATAAGCACAGAATAAAAAAAATAGAAGTTTAACAATCCTTGATATCTCTCTTAACAAGGTAGGATCGGGAAATGGTTTTGGAAAAATGCCTGCCCAGTTGAACAGGGGAACGAAGCCTATGAAAGCACGTATTCCGCGAGCCCAAACAATACCCCCGATATGATTTTAACTGAGGAACTAAGCTCATCGCAGCTGCCTTCGTTCTAAGGCTTTTCAGCCCACACAGTCCTTTTGGGGAATTGCAGACCTCCGAATCCTGGAAGATGGGAACGCTGCATCCCTCACCCGAGAGCAGAGTATTGGGGCACTCCCACCTCCAGCTACAGAGGGGCTCACATCACCCAGCTTTGTTAGAGGGAACAGGACAAGAGGCAAAACTAATTATCCTACACAGGGTAAATATTTTATCTTTTTGTTTAAAAATAAATTGCTTAAACAGTCTGCTACGATAATTGGGATGTGCACTAAAGTACTGAGTGAAAATGAATACTCATAGCACACCTCATCAGAAGGTACAACAAATAACAAATAATATTAAAAAAAAACCCAAACACCACAAACCCACCACAACTCCCCCTGCCCCCCCAAAAAACACCACCAAGGGGAAAAAACGTAGAAGTTAAACAGTCCCAATCCAGATATGGTTTAAAGTAAGCAAAACGAAACCAAACTACACACAAATACAGCTCTCAAAATCATTTAAAAGTAAAACAGAAACCAGAATTTCCTCAAATTGTATTATAAATTAGATTCTAGACTATTCCTAGATGGTAAGATTTCTCTCTGATGTCCTCCAAACCTTCAAGTTTGAAGAAGGAACAGAGTACCTATTGACAAATATGTGGCTTTAAAAAAAATAAAATGCTGTGCCTACAGAACTGAACTGCCATTCTACAAAATTACCGTACAGCTTTACAGAAGTTTGGCACGGTGAATTCAAGAATGTTTTTAGTCAACACCTCCAATTTCTGATGTAATTAGCACGGAAAATGTGACAACAAACCTCAACACTTCATATCAAATGAGTCATTTCTGTGACAAAAGAAAAAAAGTATTACTTTAAGTTACACATCACATATACAGGAGAATTTTATCTCTTTACAATTAAACTTCACATCCAAATAGCCAACAGTTAAAAATACTCTGAGGAGAGTTGCAGCACTTCTCAAGGTAGTAGCAGCAAAGGAAAAAGCACTCCAGTAAGAATTATACCATTTCCACACATTATTTACCATAGCAACTTAACGAAACAAATTCCTTGGACAATTTAGATGATGTACTATTGCATGTAATCTAACACAGCAAAAGTGAATCCTTCTCAAAATCAGATAATTTTAACTATTTTTAAGATATTTTGTAGTCTTATAATACAGCATTTTAGATAAAATTATTTCATAAATTTCCCAAAACAGTTTGCATTCATATAAGGCAGAACAAAAAGCAGTAAAAGACTTCATAGAATCAAAGCTATATGTTTAGTTTTTCTTGCAAAAATTAAAAAGTTGTCCAGAATGAAATCTTGATTGTTATTCCTAGAAAAAAAAAAAAAATAGAAACGTGCCAGGAAAATTGCACCATATCAGAAGTTTGGGGAGTTTTTTTGTTTTCTAAAAAAAGAGAGATGTCAGTATTCACTGGATTTATAAAACACATTAATCTGAGAAACCTGAGTGAAACACTTTGAACACACTGGTGGATAACAAGCAAGTAACTAGTCTGTCCCTTTCTAATTTCAGTAGCTTGTAACGGCTTAGAATGGACACGTGGAACTCGTTTGTGTGAGCTTTTGCTTTTATTCCTCACCAGACAGGATCCATAAAGCGTGGCCCTGGGTGTGCAGGCAGTGTGGCTAGGGGAAGAGGATTTTTGAGTAAGGTCAGTACAGAGGTAATACCTTGTTTCCTTAAAAGGAGCATTCCATGGCAGAAATGTGCACTGTTTCAGTGAACAGAAAATCATTTTCATAGCAGAAATTTCATTTTATGCATACGATTTCTAGTCCGATTTCCCATTTCTATGCATTTTGGCTTCCTCCTGTCCGATAAGACAAATGACTTTGTAGCATCCTTTTGCAATTTTGACCATCCACATCACATTCATAACATCCAAGACAACACTTGAGATAATCCAGGCGCTCTGGGCTGCAAATCCTAATCTCTGGAAAGCCTCTGTTCCAAATGAAGAAATTACATGGGTGTAATATATAGGCATGACGGCAATCCTCACCACGAAGAACACAACTGTCATCAGCACACCATTGATGATGTTGGCCTTTGAAGATTTGGGATATCCCAGTACTTCAAAAAACCACCTGCAAAAGAAGCGTTCACAGATACCAGGCACACTTGAAGCCTTTTCTTTAAAAAAAGGATTTTATTTCACCTCTTTTTTAAATTAATCATTTAATTTATTAATTGCTTCTACCCTTATAATTTCTAAATTATTGCACTGTGTCTTGGCTTAGACACAGAACCAGACATTGTAAATGGCACTGGCTCATGTAACAGGTAGGTATGTTATGCAATGAAAAAGATAAATCTAAAAACTCCCTCTCCCATCACTACTACTGGGTCATAAATGGTCTTTAAAAAAAAAAATCTTGCATATAATTCCTTAGTAGACAGGCATAACTTATCTATTGCTTAGCAGACAGAACCTGCAGATTGAATTTCTAGAAAAAGGAACAAATTCCTCTAATTCTTTATCATTCTCACTTAAACCAGAATAAACACAAGGAAAATGTGCAACAATGGCAGGCTAAAGACAGGACTGGAGGAAAATTACTTAAATCACTGTATTCATGATGGGGGATGGAGAGGGGACGGGGAATAATCAATTTATTTCCAAGAAGATATGAGGGTAGAACTATTTAACAAAAGAACAGTTCTAAAACTGGTTTTAAAAGTCATTTTTAATTTAATTACCCACAGATTACAACCTAGGTAATTACAGATATACTAAAAAGATTTGCCAGACATCCAGCTCTATTGAAAATACTCCTTAAGAGTATTAAGTAATTCAGAGTGCAACTGAGACAATTAAACTCCAGGCACTTGAGGTGACAATCCAGCCTAGAAGCAGGATACCTCACCACAGAAACACTTAACTGGAATGATGAAGAAAGAGACCTTATATATTTGGTCAGACTAACAATCAGAGCCTGTACTTTCGTTGATATATACAATGCAGACTCCAAAAGTAATATAGAAAAAGGTTTTAAAATATACTGTGATGTGCCAATATAGGGAACTGGACATCTGCTAGGCAACTTCCCTCTCCCAGCAAATTCAAAAAAATAAGTCAGTAAATCAAAGTCATCATTAAAATTTTTACCTACCACAGTTCATAATTAATTACATAAATGCTGACATTAACATTAAAATATCTAAATGCTTGGCATGGAGACAACCTTCAATTAGATATCCCTAAAAACACAGACAGGAAATACAAAGAAAATAGTACAGTTCTGAGATTAGAATATCATTTTATATTTTAATAACAGCTCTTTTCGTAATGCTAAGAATACAAACAAGAAACATAATGTGAGTCATTATCGTTATCCACTACATACTGTCTTAAGGGTCTGGTTCTCTTCAAATTTAATGAAGAAAACCCCAAACATTCATGCACTAATGAGATCACATTCCTTAGTGCAAGGACTTTATTGTCTCCTACAGTGATTTCTGTTTTTTCTGAGAAAGCAGTAGATGTCAGTATTCAAAGACATGATCTCACTGTAGGCATTTTAAAAGCATAGCATATATTACTTTTAATAGCCAGATGTATCACCATACTTCCTAACGCCACAGCCTGAAAGGTAAGCATCAGTATAGGTACCACTTAAACTCAGGATGAAATCCTGTCTTGGTAGAAATCAGCAGGGAGAATGGCCATTCACTAGGATATGAATTTCCATATAGAAACCTGGAATATAATACCACCTTTTTTAATTTTCTTACTCTTCTCTTCCTCATATTACTAAAATAAGTTTGATGAAGTCTTTATTTACTCCTCAGTTTCTCTGTGTGTACGAAGCACACACTACATTAGACTATAATCTCCTACTCAACTGCACTTGGGCAAATGAAAGCAACCTCTGGAGAGCTCCATTATCCCATCCTGCCCTGCAGTAAATTGAATTTGCCAAGCTAATGTTCGAAAAGGATCTCAGCATAATCTTTTTTAATCTTAGAGATCTGAGGAATGCTACAGTCTCATAAAATATTTCAGAATTTACACAAATTTTAAAATTACAAAAGTCACAATGCAGTAATGGGTAATACTCAGATACTCTGTTTGCAGGAGGATTATAGTTCCTATTTGCCTTACAAACCTTATCCTTTCTCTATCAGACACCTGGAAAAGAAAACAGATGCCACATATGTAGGATCAGTAAAATAGAAATACAGCCCAAAAAGTATGGGTGAAGAATAGGTATCTGGCACACTGAAAGATCTGACTCTACATTGAAAAAAAAAAAGAGAGGAAGAGAGACTGCAGCACTCCCTATACCAAAGCCCCTCTCCTGAGGTGAAGTCTTCCTGGGGCAACTCCCTGTCCCCAGTTGAGTCATAGTGGCTACGGAGTAAGGAGAGAGGCCACCCTCCCCAGGGAACCCAAAAACTCCACTGGCTGCTTTCCCCTACCTGCAGTACGTGGCACTATCATGCTCCTTTTCTGATACTCTCAGCAGCAATTCCAGTAGCAACACTGTCACCAGAAGCCATGGCAGGCTTCAGCTGTCACTGAGCTCCACAAAAGAGCCTTATGCCACTTTCTCCTCTGATCACAAGTATAAAGATTAACCATTCCAGATAAATCAGAAAAATAGTAAAGCACCTAAGTGCTCAAAATAATTTGCAGAACTATTTTAAAAAGTAAAGAATATACATTTATATTATTCTGTGTATTCATATGCATATATTAATACGTATATATATGTGTGCACTAATGCAAAAAAAACTTCAAATTATCTAGGGCAATGTAATTCCATTCTAGGATTCTGATGACCTGTTATCTTGCTTCTTTTCCTGGTCCATGATACTAAAAAAAAAAAATCCCTTTTTGGCATTATTATAATAATTAAATTACCATACAAAAGCTAATAAAAATATTATATTTGTGAACATTTTTGTACAGTAGTTTCACAAAAATCTGGCATTTCATATGAAGGCTGGTCTACTCTAAAAAGGAAATCAAGGGTGAATACATTAGTTACACTGTTGCAGCTATAGCAGCAAAAAGTTTTCATAGCAAAAAAGACTTCTGCATAGTAATCCTTAGTTCAATATATATAAATTCCCTTTCAGCAGACACAACAACAAAAAACTTCCTAAGTGACAGAAACAATAATACAGATTCAAACTCAAAAGAACTAGGCAAAAATTCCCTAACCACTTACCGCTGATTGACAAAAGGAGTGGAGAACTCTGCAAGCAGACGGAAGTTTCCAAAATAAGCCAACAGACCTTTGCTCTGGTTAGCAAAACAAAATAGACATACAAAAATCAACAATGTAGATGTAAAATCTTGATTAGAGTCATCAAGTATACACAGAATTATACAACATCTCAACTTCTTTATTAAAACTGATAGTAAGCCAGTTTGCCAGCTGCGGCCAACTTCCTTATGAGGTTTATTACAAAAGCTGCAATTGTCCTTCAAGTATCTCAAAATCAGTAGTTTCTTATTTTAATAAATCTTTAAAAGACTTACATTTAAGTGGCGATGGAAAGCTAGGAAGGGAAGACTTGCACAACTAGTCACAGGTCATAATTATAATGACACTATTATTATCTAAGAGAATTATAAATATTTTGGATTTCTCAGTGTTTAAACAAGCCCAAACAGAAACACTGTAAGCTAAAGAAAAATGTCCCTGCATTGCTTTAGGAACATAATTTGCCAAAGCAAAGATGTATTCCCAGATTTTATTTGGCAGCAGAAACGGCACATAAAGCCCTTTCTTCTCTCCTCCCCACTGCAGGGGAAATCCCTTCCACAAGCTGTGTCCCAGTCCCTGCTGTGCCCTGTGGGTCGGAAGAAGAGCACGTCTTGCCCATGACAATAGCCAGGTAACTCTGTGGTACGTTTACACGGATACACGTTGTAAGTGAGCGCTTTCCTCCAAGTAACAAAGTACAGCATAGTCTCTGCCTTATCATTTGGCTGAGCTGGAAATAATATCCCATTACACAATGGCTGGGTAAGCAGCAGTTTGATGTAGAGATAAAAAGATTTTTTTTTTAAAATTTCAGTAGGTCTCCTGAACAACCTCTGAAATGCGTGCCATGATTCCTCTTTCCTCCACAGAGCGTGCTAATACCCACTACTTCAGGCATTTCATGTCAGTTCGCACTACACCAGACGGAAAAAACTGTGTTCTTAATCAAATTCTCTCCTATCTTCAAGAGCAATTTTTGAAATAAGATACTTACAAGTAACTTTCTCTGAAGATAAGAGAATGAGAGTAACATACAGACATTGAAGGGCGGAGCTAGAGCCGAATAAAGCTGCTTTAAAAGAAGTTCACACTAATGCTAGGCTTTCTATTTACTCCAGAAACAAATAATGAATTTTCTGCAGCAGGGATTAGCCTTGTAGTGGTATTTTCATTTCTCTAATATCCCACCCTAATTCACTTTCATCTGTGACAATATTAGTAGATCTAATTATCTCCAACCTGAAACAGAGTATTTACTTGTCAATGTGCTTCATCTCCTTTAAACTGTTAACACGGGAAATCTGACAGTAATCTGGCATCTCCACACTTTTAATATTGTAAGCCTGGGATTCACAGAGTAGGCAGGGAAAGAAACGTGGTAAATGAAGTAAACTGTATTTTATAAGATTTCTTTATTTACTGAATGAGTTTTTCAGAGAAATTCAAGAGCATTATTCTGGAGGTCAATGGGATTTCTATCAAGTCACATGGGCATCTTTGAGAAATTCCAGAAGCAACAAAGTGTAACTAAGTTACTCTTTATCTTAGAACAGTATCCTTCTCTTCTCCTTTTCCCTTCAATATATGCATGCCACAAACATTTATAGATATATAAAGTTGATCATCCATTGTTTCCCCACTAAAGTAACCTTAAACAAGAAGTCTCAGAAGATTAGTCTGTGTCCTAAAAGATTTAAAAAAAAAAAAATTAGAGAAACAAAAAAAAACCACTCTGAAAAAAACACACTTAGCTGATTGTAGTACAACTCACCAGAGTTAAGGATCACTGACCTACAGCCTTGCAAATACAATCACAAGCAGAACATAACCACTTGAAACCACTTCTTTCTAATTTTCTGACTAAATATTCAGATTCGTGTTTTTATTTGAAACCGTTTTCTATAACCACGTGAAAAGTCCCCCTGTCAAAGTCTCTCTATGCAAAAACTGAGAAGAGTTTTAATTTCAGCAGTTAAATAAGTGACACATTTTTGTTGAAGGACTGTAGCATTGAAAAGGCATGCACTTACCACAAATGACTGATAAAACCATTTAGAAAGTAATGATGATTGAAAATATAAATATGCCTTTCACAAAACTAATACACCAACAAGTGAAGAATTTTTTTAAACATTAAGCAAATGAGATCTATAAAAGCATTGTCTTCAATCTCATCTGTTTGTTATGTTACTGGAAAATACAGCACTCACCAGTACAAAATAGTAAGCATACAGAGCTGCCAAGTGATGTATTACAAAAAATTTGTCACCAATTGCCTTCCAGTAGTAAATAATAAGCAACAAATCTACAAGAGAAAAGAAATAGCAATAAAGAACAATTTATCATACTACCATTGACACTAGAATAGTGTTTCTCTAAGATTTAGAGGTATAAATGCCAACATATGGCATCAGTAGAAACTCTCTGAATTAATTATCTCTGAAGAGAACATCTTTATCCTAAAGACTTTACTGTAGTCAAAGCATTAAGTAACAGTATTTTTCCAACAGTTGCCATAAGTATTTCTTTCCACATCAATGGAAGTGCAGAGGCAATAGATTTAGCTGAAATATTTTGGAAGGAAAAAGCAGATCCAGAATCTTATAGCAAGACTTCACACTCACTAGCTCAAAACTTTGGAACAAGGAACCAAAAAAAATATTGGGGGGGGACGGGGACAGGTGGCGCGAGGCTACAGGGGGCATAGACAACATACAAATACATATAATAAATGCAGGGATCTATTATGGGGAGCTTCAGAATTAAAAAGTAGTTATATTAGCAAAGTGAACCATTCACCAAAAATATTTTGCAAGGGGGACTTGATATGAGAAGCATGTTTGCTTTATTTAATCACAATTTTCCAACTACTGTAGCGGATCTGAGTTAATGTTACAAGGAAAGCATTGACAGAAAAGTTCTTCCGTGTCCCATGACAGTCTGACGTTTCAGAAGATTCTCTTTTCTGTACTGGAACAAGCAATTTCTGCCCTTATTTTCTTCAAATGAGTGCTTTGGACTGGAATATTAGTGACCGAGATTCCAAATCAAAGACTGTACTCCTGTGCCTTTCATATCTCCAGCAAGTGCCTTGATCTCTTTTATATTAGCTATCTGCAGGCAGGACTCCATCATCTGACATAGCCACTCCACTTCCTGTCAATAATTAAACATTAACTATATAAGGATGTGTGAGAGTATGAGTGGCCAGGCTCAAGTCTCTGTTCAAAGTTATTCATTAATTCATAACGCAAGTCTCATGCAGAATTATTCAAAAATAGATACCAATGAATTTAAACATGGGAGCTGAAGTTCTTCTTACAGAAAAAAATGGAGACTTTATTTAACCCACAGTTTAACTGGGTGTGCTGATCATCAGATTATCAATTCCGTTGGAGTGAGAAATCTAGTCTGAGAGATAATCAAGTCCATGCCTCATCTCTGACCAGAGACTCCATCCTAACATGAGAAGTTTTCTCTGAAAAGAGTCCAAGTCACAAAAAGTTTTTGCTTTGGTAAGTCAGTATTATCCTCACATATCATAAAAGAAAGCTCCAAAGCATTTTGTAGCAAAATTCCCATGCCAATTTTAATTGACGGTAAATAATTAAGAACACAAATTATATGGAGAGGTAAATGCCATACCAAGAAAATAATTCAAAATTTCCATGTTTTATACATAACTAAATTTTGGCTTAAAGTGAGACTAAAAGGCGGGCAGGCAGAATCCTATGGCATCATTTGCCTCAGCTTGTATTGAGGATTACTACAATTCTTCTGCCAACATTCTGAAGTCACGGGAAGAACTGTACAATAAAAGCACTACAAGCTGTAGACACACTGAAGGGAGTGAAGGGCATTGCTTTAACACCTTCTCAATTGGCGGGAGGACAAAACCAAGCTGGAGTTGGTGGTTGTGTATCAAACCATCACAAAGCCACACGGTGGCATTTCCTCAGTGCTTGAGGAGATATCATTGCATCTTTCACACCTGCTGGCAAGATCCTGTGATTTCACCACAACCCACAACTCCATCAGCAATTTTAAAAGCCACAGTAGAAACTGTATTGTATACACATCACCTCTCCAGCACAGTGGTTCAGTATAAACATATAGGCATAGTGACTCAATATAAATATACAGTTGTGTGTATTATAGATATGCTGCATAATTACCAGAAATGAGGTAGCCTGTGGTAATAGCAATATTCAGTTTCACAGTTGAAGGGTCACCCCTGTAAACATACCAAAAATACACAGTTACAGCCTTTATAACGCGGTAATTTGCAAAGGACATACACATGTCAAACACATAATGTCCATCAGGTCGCTTTATTCTTGGCCCATCAGTAAGACCTTACGAGACTTGGTTAAGAAAGGTCCTAGTCATGAAACCAGATTCCTTTTCCACCCAGATATAACACGTCCAGTAACTACCCTAATCAGGATTACCCTCTGCCTTGGGGTAGAGACGGCGCCAAGAGTCTTGCTAGAGACTAGAACTGAAACCCAGCAAGTACCCTGAGCTGGCTTCTCTGGAAACAGAGGACAAAAGAGAACAACCCAGGGAATATCTCTTAGCACTTTAATTGACACTGTGCTTCCATTTTTGGTTTCCTCCCAGTGTTAAAACTTTTTAAAGCATGACAAAAATATCCTGCTCAGCTGGTGCTTTTCATATTCCTAAGAGGATGGACGCTTATCAGCATAAACAGAGTACAAAGAGACATGAAAGGAATTATTTGCCAGTCCTTTGGAACCTTCGAGGCGACATGCTTTTCAGAGCAGTTTCACACCTTCTGTCCCTTCCCTTTTGGTGCCAAACATTCAGCAGGCAAAGCTCTTAGCAGCACACACACAACTTCAGTTCCTCTAGAATATTCGACAAACCCAAACTTGTGAATACAGCTCAATAAAGGGAAGCATCCCACTACAGCAAGTAACATTTGTTCTTTCCTCCACTGTCCTCTGTACATTCCTACTTTGAGGAGTTTGGTAAGCAAACCTCTTTCCTCAGCATAAAGATCGCAACTTTTTTTTTAACTAAGTTGTACATCTAATCTAGATATGTTTTGCGTAACTGAGCTTCAAGTGACAGGTCTACAGATTTATAAAATGTGGACTGCTCAAGACAAGCTATGAAAGCAAACTTTGTTGTAAATCTTTTGAGAAAAAAGGAACATAACTGTGCTTACAGTCACCTCCAATACAAAGTCTACCTCAGCTAGAAAGCAGTAAAATGCCATTACTTAGCTATTATATTTTAATCCTGTTGGAATGAAGCAGTAGAAGAGATTTCCTGTATTATTACAATCTGTTCACTAAATTTTAAGGCTTTCTTAGCGTTTAAAACTAACTGTTTTCCTGAGTGAGAAGGCAGCTTACAGGAAAATAGAAGGACTCACAAAACCAGAATTCTGCCATTAGGTGAGGAAAAACATTACCAGGAGAGCCTGGAGCTCACTCCATCTCTTAAGACTGGCCATAGAGGCTCTCTTAACTACAACTTGAGACAGGAACATTCTTGCATAGACTCAAAATCTGGTTTCATGAGCTACATAAGTTGTGGGTTGAGTGCTTCTTTAGGTGTAGCTCTTCTGAAATTCACAGCTAGACACAGAGCACAGACAGATGTGTTCTCACAATTTTAGCAGAAATTCTTTAAACAGTTACAGTCCTCTCAGTAGAGCTCCCAGCTGTGGCAGCAACAACATCATATCCAAACTTGTAAGCACTCCCAACACACTTCAGCACATCATCACCAAGATTTCGCCTGCACTCAAGAACCTTCATCTTCTTCTCCAGAGAAGATGAAAAGGACTGAGTATATGAAATTGGTTCCTTGATATTGGCAAACATGACTTAACTGGATGAGACAGGGAATGATTCACCTCCCTTCATTGTTTCCATAAGAATGGTCACCTTGCAACAAACCTCTAGACTTTCTAAACCAACACTTCAACAACATATATGGCTGCACTGCCCATCTGTCACCTCCCTTCAAGAACAGTCCATGTTAGAATGGTTGAATTAATCTCATTTAATGGAAAACCTGGAATTTAGTCTGAAATCTTCTAGATTTCCTGATCTGTCTCCTTGAATGGGAAGTGCAACAGAGCTTATGAGTCCTAAAGTTTGCAGCCTATTTTTGATGTAAGCAAGAGGCAGGAGTGACAAACAGGGAGTGACCTGAATAAGCAAAAGGGAAGAGCTATCTCTTTTGTGATTGCTAAGGAGGTATGTGTGGCAAATGAATTGCATACCAACCTGCACAGACAGATATAACAAACAGAAGTTCACACAACCGACTTTCTTCAAAGTTCTTTGCAGATAGTCATATAAAATGCTAATTGAACATCACACTTCAAAAAGTGTAATGACTGTAAATTGGACAGTCATATGAAAAAGCCTGCTCTTCTGTGAAGCTGCAACTTAATTCACTTATTTACATCTTGTCCCTCTCCTTATCTGATCTCTACCACCTCCACATTTTCTACCATGTTATTCTAACCACCTCAAAAACAATTTCTACATTATCTCTGTTAGCTAGTCTGTATTACACATAGAAGAAAAGGCCAAGTGTTACGAGAAGTCCTAGACCATCAAAAAAGGTGTATGTACACAAACTGATGTTTCCCCATAACTTATCAATGCTCTAATTTTTTATTTTTTTTTTTTTAGGATCTATCGTATATAGTTTCAAGCATTACCTGACAGTAATACCACATCCTCTCTCCATTGAACCTAAATCATTAGCAGGAGTCCTGATCCCTTTCAAGACATATGGGCGTCATCATCACCATGCATTTAAGCTTTGTGTGAACCCAGAAGTTAGGCTAACATATGTAGAGGCTCAGAACTTGTGATTATCCATTATAAATACAGATATCTTTAAATCCCACAGAAAATAACTGCCTGAATACTGTCCTACAGTCAAGAACTA